GAACAGAAACACAGCATCCAAGTAGACATTTCTTTATAAGGAAATAGCAGATGAATACATTATCTTCTTACATACTTTACAGAACCAAAAGATAAAAACAAATATTAAGAAAAATTTGGTGAGTGACTAGAAAAGCTTACCCAAACCTGCAAGTTAAAAATAAAGTAAAATAAAATAAGAGACTTTTTGTGCAATACAGGTAGTTGCATAATCTGAACAAACCTGTCAATCATGTTATACAACTGCCTAATGCTCAACAAAACCATTCAGACAATCATTTTCAAAATGCAGTTACATCTCAATAACTTTAAATCACCAGACCTACCTGTTTATACAATGCATAAAGCGTCAGCTTTACTTCATTACCAGGGTCCTCCTTCAAAAGCTTTAGCTGATCTTTGGCCTTTTCAAAGTCTTCCTGGCTGAACTGCATTATAAGTTTAGTTGTATGTAACTGTTGTGCAGGCAAATGAGGACAATACACAGTATTGCTGGAAGGAAAAAGGGAACCATATCAAGCTACGGTACTTATTTACTAAAATGTAGAGAAAAATAATGCTAGGATTACTCATTATGTGTTCAAAAGGTTACAAATCATTATCAGTGCAAAGAAAAGTTAATCAGTAAAAAATATTGCACAAAAATCACAGGGACAGCTCAGTGTAATGGTGCTTGTGACATAATTAACCCTTGAAGAAAATTATTCAACTAAATCTTTTATGTAAATATTTAGCAGCAGATAATGGTGAGATGCTACCAAAACAGAGCAAAGACTACATGCAAGAGTTGCCAACTGAGTAGGATTTTTTTTAAAAAAAGGGGGGGGATATAACCTGTGTGTTTTTTTTTTTTTTTTGCCAGTGGCTATAAAGCAAATGGCAGAGCTGCTTCTCCTTCCCTGCTCCCTCAACCTCTTCTCCTGTGTGAGTGTGTGTTCTCTCTGTATAAGCATGTTCCACCTTAATCATGACCTATTTAGTGCCCTCCATATGTTCTGTTCTTCAGTCTCCATCACCTCTGTCTATTTGGCTTTGCTGGCTAAGGTTAATATAGTCCAAGACATCTGAATTCCACTAAGAAAAGCAAAATTGCCTTAAGTGAAGGGTTTCGATTTTTGGCCCAGCAAAACTACTGAGCTCCACTGTTCAATTTGCTACAAATCCCTTGCCCAAGGATCTACTGCAAACATCTTCTAGCTATAAATACAAAATAGGCTCCTATTTACCTGAATTTTCTGTTTTAAGATTTAACAGACCTAACGCATGGAGAATTTGTGACCTAGCCATTCTAAACAGGGGGTCATATGCCCTCCCAGCACATTTGGAGAGTCCTGGCACATCTGAAGGGGGCCACAACCTGGACACAGTTCTTCACATACCACCTTATAAAGTTTACTCCCTTCAGTCCAAGGCACTCTGGTCAACTATGGGGCATGATGAGAGTTACAATTAACAGTATTTGGAAAGCCACAGATTCATCTCCCTGCATTTTGTGAAACAGTAAGGTTACCTACTTGTAACCATGATTCTTCTAGTGGACCTCTGTGAATTCACACAAATGGGTTTATTCTGTGCCTGCACAGGACATTCGGAAGATTCTAGAGCTTAAAAAAGAGAGAATAATGAGATACCCCCCCCCGGGGGCACCAGCTTCGCCTCCTCAACCTTCCTCTCAGTTCCTGCATAGTCTGCTGCTGTCCAAGTAGAATGCATAAGAAAGAAGACAATGTAATGGACAGAGGGGAGGAAGGGAGGGAAGTATGAATTCACAGAGGTCCACTAGAAGAACCATGATTACAGGTAGGTAACCTTACTTTCTTCTTCGTGGCCTCTGTGAATACACACATATGGGTGACTGACAAGCTCACTATGGTGGAATGTCATGGTAGCACAGATGTCAGGATAGCCCTTCCAAAGGCAGCGTCTTTTTTGGCCCTGACATCGAGGCGGTAATGCTTTGTGAATGTCATTGGATTTGACCAAGTTGCTGCTCGACAGATGCTTTGAACTTCTATCCCACGGTGTAGAGCTGTTGATGTCGACATCACTCTGGTAGAATGAGCCTTGAGAGTGCTTGGTGTCGTCTTGCCCGAAAGTTCATATGGTAGACTTATAGCTTGAACTATCCATCAGGAGATGGTCTGTGCCGATGCCAGTCCACCTTTATTGTGGCTATGGTAACACACAAATAATCTGGGTGATTTACGGAATCCTCTGGTTCTGGTGATATAGAAGGCCAAGGCTCTACGGACATCTAGCATGTGGAGCTTGTGTTCGATGGGTGTGGTTGGAGATGGGAATAATGTTGGTAGTATTATCGGCTGATTCATGTGGAATTTGGATATGACCTTGGGTAAGAAGGATATGTCAAAATACATAGTGACCTTGTCAGGATGGAATTGTAGGTATAGTGGGTCCGATCTTAGCGCTGCCAGCTCACCAGCTATTTTAGCAGAGGAGATGGAAGGAAGATGGTTTTGATAGACAGTAGCTTTTTGTTACATGTAGCCATAACTTCGAAAGGAGGTTTGGTTAGGGCGTCTAGGACCAGCTGTAGGGACTATTGAGATAATATATGTTGCGTTGGCAGTCTGGTATTTTGTAGACCCCTCATGAATTTTGAGAGAAAAGTTTAGCTGATGGTGAATGCTGCGGCTGATGTGCGACTATAGCTGATATGTAGACCTTGATAGTGGAATAGGAGAGACGGAGGTCAAACAAGTGAAGAATAAAGGTAAGTAAGGGCTTGAGTGAAACGGGGACTGGAGACAGGTTCTTAGAGTTAATAAATGTAGTAAACGATTTTCATTTGTTTTCATAGAGTTTGACTGTGGAAGGTTTACGGGCTTAGGATTCCTTGGAATTCAGGGATATCCTCAACGCTGTCAGTTTGAGTGATAGGATATCCGTCTTTCTGGGAGAGGAGGTTCGGTATCGATGGGAGATGGAAGACTTCTGTTGCTAATGTCCTGATGTGGGTGAACCATGGAGATTTTGAACCTATGGCTACATGTAACAAAAAGGTACTGTCTATTGTCTAATGCAATTATTATGGTGTTTGTAGAGTACTGCATGAATGTGATGACCGTTTTGAGGATCATCGGTATCGGTGGGAATATGTAAAGGAATTCCCCTGACCAGTCTATCATGAATGCATCACCTAGGGAGTCGGTATTGAAGCCTGCCCTTGAGCAGTACCTGGGACACTTGGCGTTGTCTCTGGTAGCAAAGAGGTCTATGGATGGGTATCCCCATCGATGGCAGATCGATAGGAAGATTGTGTTGTCTAATGTCCATTCTTGTGTACGAGTGGGTAGTCGGCTTAGTCGGTCCACAATATAGTTGTCTTCTGTTGAGATGTGAATGGCTTATGAGAAAATGCAATGATGGTAACACCATTCCCATAGTTCTACTGTGAGGTGCAGGAGAGGGATGGAGTGAGTGCCTCCCTGTTTGTTTATATAGAACATTGCCGTGGTGTTGTCCATTACAAGCTGAACTACCCGTCCTCTGATGGGAGACAGGAATGCTCAGAAAGCTTTTATGATAACCGTTATCTCTAGTTGATTTATGTGTAACGATTGTTCCTTTTGTGTGTAGGACTTAGTCGTTTTTCTCAACTTGTGAATGTTCTCCATCATATTGTCTGTCTTAGTATGGAAAGGGCCAGCGGTATCGAATGGAAGGTCCTCTATCCTGGTCTTGGTGTCATCCAGGATGTTAGCGGAGCGAAGCCAGGCATGTTTCCTTATGGCTATCGATGTTGCCATAGCCTTAGCTGCAGTGTCTGTAGTGTGTCTAGCTGCCACTCTTTGTTGTTTAGCGAGGGTCATCACTTCTGTATATGTATTTATCAGGTCCGGTCTGGTGGAGTTGGACGCTGCCTGAAGAGTTGGTAATATCTTGTCCCATAGATGCCTTTGATATGCCCCCATGGCAGTTTGGTAGTTGGAGATTCGTATGAGTAGAGACATCAGAGAATAGTTTTCTGCTGAAGGCATCAATTTTGCATCCCTCTCTGTTAGCTGGTGTAAGAGAGGACTTACTATGGGATCTATACTGTGTTGATTCGACCACGATAGAATCAGAGGCCGGGTGTTTGAGCAAGAAGGTGGCATCTGGGCCATGCATCTTATAGTGGTGCTCGATTGTACGAGGGGGTTGTAAGGATGATGGCAGTTTATCACAAGATTCCTTAATGAGCTGCATTAAGGCTGGTATCAGGCTTAAACTAGGTGGATGGATCTTGCCTTGCTCAAGGTCATTAAAGACTAGGTCCCGGACTTGCTGAGGAGCTAGCTCAATATTGAGATGGAGCGTTTTGGCCATGCATAGGATGAGCTGAGTATATGAGGTATAGTTTTCTGAAGGTGACAGGGAATGGTTACGTGATAGATTCTCCCTGTTGAGATGAGAATCAGATTGGTGTCTAGGATGATCTAATGAGGGTGATCTGTGAGGAGGATACCAGGGTGGAGATGGGTATGGGGGCCTCCTGTATTCATCAAGGTAGCCGTAGTTGTGATATCGATGCAGGTAATATGGATCATAGTGATGATATGGATAGCAGTTGGTATGGTAATAGGGGTCTCCATCCTGATGATGGATTGGAGAAATGTGTATATGCAGTTGAGATAGAGAGACATGTTTTCATTTCTCCATACACTTCCTTGGCGAGTGTGCAGGAGTTTCACATCCTGAGTCCATGTCAGCATTTGCCCGCCCTGGATAATGAGGGCTATCAGGGGCCATGGCCGGGCTGGAAGGTTCGTCAGCCTGTGAATGGCCAGAGCTGGGTGATAAGCTTAGAATTGTCCGGTGAGCTTGCATGGATGATAAAGAGTAATCATTTGCATTTTGGAACATGGGAGTCTACTGAGAAGACTCATCCAATATCGGCGACGGCAGAGAAGGTGGGGATTGAGTAATGGAGGTTGTCTTGTTTGCCGCCTTATGTTTCTTTGGCTCCTTTTTTCCCCGCAGAGTTGGAGGACCGTGGCTTAGGCTTAGCCGAGGCAGACTGGGACTTAGATGTTTTTTTACGGTTCTTTAGATTTGCTAAGTAACGGCGTCATGCCCGCAGTAGAGTGGGTTGCGGGGCCAAGGTCGGTAGGTCTTTTGGATCTGGTCAGTTGGACCGCTGAAGGGGAAGCACTTGTGAGCAAAGCCAGTTTCCTAAAAAACTGTTCTGCTACGGGACAGAGAGGATCCTGAGTGAGTGGCTCCTAATACAGGCAAAACGGGTCCTCAAATTTTGCCCTAGGCAGCAACACTTCCCCTCATTCACCAAGTCTGCCACGATTTCTTTTTGAACCAAGATACACCTGTGAGTTCCAGGGAATCTAATTCTCCTAGGCTTCCATAGTTGGCTTTAGAGATAGTTCGTACAAATGGGATCTGAGGTGTTGGAATCTCAGTTTGATTGCAGGTTTGGTGAGTTGTCTGCAGGCGAGACACGACTGGGTCTGATGGAATTCACAAAGGCAAAAAAG